GCGTACCTTTGTTTTACTCCCTCAAAAAAATTACGTTCCCGACGTTCTCGTTATACGAGCAGAGCCTGTCAAAATTTCTCGAGGACTCGATTACGCGCAGATTTACAATGAGGTCATAAACTTACGTGAAGCCTCTGTTACGAAAGCCGGCTATAAATATAAATTCCCTCGGCAAATAATTGAGCAAAGGCTGTCTTAACGATAAAAACAGAAGAAGACATACAAGACGGGGAGGCCCTCTACACAGCGGATGAAAAGAGAGATAAGCCACTGCGCGCGCGAGAGAGAGGGCGTGTATATGGACGAGCGCCGCAGCCGAAAATAAATTACGTCGTCGTCATCTTAGTAGAGAATCTAATGGGCGCGAGCGAACAATTAATTGCACGCGTGAACTGCTCATCGAACAGTCGCGAGTATCTGTACGCATACAGGGTCGATTGGAATAAGACATGTGCCAACAAGATCGCGCGGTCGAGGACGATAAATCTTATTCTCCAGCGTGATTTCTCGGCTCCGATTCTAGACTGGCGCTGAGAGCGAGCTTTCCCAGTAAGTAACTGTCTGAAAATGCGCTACGTTGGTTTTGTCTTGTCTTCGTTTCGTCTTCTTCTTCCTCTATTTTCGTTTCTCTGTCTGCCGAGCAAATTAATTTCGTGGACGTTCTACGTTAGCTTTCGAGCGCGAGCAAGTCAGGCGCGGTTCTTTGAAGATCGCTGTCGAAGCTGTACATTTATCAAAGCGCGTGGCGCGTCCGCTCTGAAGCTCCGTTATAGGCACTCGTCGCGCCAAGCACGATATAAATTTCCCAATAACGGCAGATCCTTCTCGCGTGATTTCGTATGCAGCTCTGTGCGCGTTAAACCCCTTTCTCTTTCTCAGGCTCGCGGAACAATTTGTAGCCACGCGTCAGCGACAATATACCGCGATGCGCTTTCATTTCCAGCGCGCGTTTTTCCTCGAATGGAAGACGAGCCATCGCGAGAAAAGCCCGCGATGGTATCTGCACGCCCATACGAGAAAGAAGAAAAACTGTTGGGCGCGAAGAGCACGTACGACGAAAGGGAGCTGCATACCTGACACTCGCACACGCGCGCACGCGCACACACGGGCGAGAGAGAGGGACCATTAGTCGGCAGCGTGTCGTTGGCGATAACAGCTGCGCGAGCGAGGCAAGGCGAGTTCGATCCTGCCTGTCGAGGAATATCATCCCTGTATAAAACGAAAAAGATAGCCGCGGGAAGGAGGGGATTATCGGCGTATAGCACGGCCGGCGCGGAGAGCCGTGGGATTTCAACGCGAGGAATCCAGGTGCGATAGCGCAGCGCTTCCTCGCTGCCAGCCGCCTCGATGTATTTACGGGCGGTGTACCAATCCGGATTTTCGATGAATTAATCGACGGCATTTTCTAACTTTGCCCCTCTCGCGAGCCACATCGCTCACCGAAATTGGCTTTTCACTCGTTTTCAAGGCCTACCCTGCACACACACTCCAACTACAATTCGAGTCCGCTCTCCCGCCGCAAAAGCAGCCGCGCGCGCGCGCGCGCGCGTAATAACAAGAGTCGCGTTCCAATTCTCGAGAGAAAGAAAAAGGAACCGAAATGATAATTACAGAACGCTGACAAATTGCATGCGACGACACTGGCGGTCGACAGAAAAGAGCGAGAGAGAGAGAGAGAGACAAAAGCCCGCGAGATGAAAGGGAAAATGAAATGACGAGAGATTGAAGCAGTATAGTATACACACGGATGTGATCTCTCCGCCTGCCGCTGTTGCCGCTGTAATTACACGATAAAGTCCGAAAAATTCCGCCGTTGTGAGAGTGTGAGAAACGACAAACAGACAAGGCAGTTATATACACTTTAATATGACGCTTAAATGATATACATGTCCTTTTACATATATATATATATATATATATATATATATATATATATATATATTTCTTTCTTGTTTCTTTTTTTTTTTTTTTTTGAGTGCAATCCAATGTCGAGGCGATTCGGAAAAAAAGCCAATTTGGATTTATAGCAAAATTCACTTAAATTCTCTCGGCGAACGTGGCGTGTTATCTTCGGAACAAACTGACAAATAAAATCTCGTTGCTCGCACACTCGATAAAAATAATAAGACGAAAGTTAAATAATCGTGATAATATAAAAATCCGGTTTGTCGTATAAATTAGCGCGGCTGGTATCAGAACACAGTTCTCCACTTTAAAAAAGTACACCCGTAAAATCTCTCTCGTTTTCACATCCGGAAAAACGGGCGCGTCGACTGCCCCTTTTTTCCGGGAAAAAAAGAGGGAAGGACATGTACGATGCTTATCTGGTCGCTGTGTGTCGGCGCAGGCAAAAAATCAATCAGCCCGCTAAGTGGATGTTGCGCTGGCCGACCGAATTCTCCAGATAAGTATCGCCGCCTTTTCTCTTTTTTCTTCTTCTCCGTCTTCCCTTGTGCGCCCTTCTTCTTATTCTTCTTCTTGTGCGGGAGACCCGAGACCAGGTAGGTATCTCTTTCGGCCCTCTCTGCGTTAGTCATCTTGATCTTCGGAGGCGCAGGTAAGGATCATAGGAGAACGAAAAGCGCCCGCGCCGCGCACATGCCTCTTTGGATGGCTGCGTCCGCGTTCGTTGTCCAAATCTTCGCTTATTGAATTAGCTCTTTGTTCCTTCTTTACTTCTTTCTACGTCTTCTGTTTTAATTCGCTTGACAATGAAAAAGCGACATGTTATCGAGATCGCATCTCTTTAACTACATTTTTTAAAATATAATTTATTACCCGCAGATCGATTGTTTGTAGATCGTGAATTTAACAAGAATTTAATATATCTTGGAAAAAAATAATCAATAACTGGCAAAAACCAATCTAATTGTAATGATCAAAATTGGAGGTAGCCCAATTATCAAACATAAAAATTAAGCATAGCAAAACAGTCGCCTCGTCATCTATAGACGATAGAAATCAAGATACTCCACAGGCATTATAAAACTCGTACAAATCATAAGAGTTGTCAAAATAGCATTTCAGCATACCTGTCGCGAGCGATGACATTTAAAGTTGCATAGAAGACCCCTTTTCAGATTAGCCTATCCAAACATCAAAAAGGCATGATTAACCGAACTCATTAAAAAAAAAAAGTTACCATTCATCGTCAATTTAGAAAAGGAGCAGAGCAGTCCCTTCCTCTCATCTGCTGCCGACGAATTATTTTCATTCTACGAGTCATTCACTTCCTGCGCTTCTTTTTCTCATACGTACGCGCGCTACGTTCGACGATCGTGTGCACGGCAACTATGTGTGTTCTTCTTCTTGTTCTATGCGATGTATAACGTGTCCTTTTTTTCTATTTTGTTTTTTCCGTCGATGCGGCTTTATAAAGTACAACAGCACGATCACGCTTTATAAATTGATTTTTCGGTTTTTGTGCCGGAGGCTGACTCAATTCTCAGAAATTTTAATCGTCGCGCCGTGCGCCTCTTACTGTTACAGTATTTTGTAAGCGGCTATCGGGGTAGAGTAGCGTAGAAATTAACGAGTTGTCATCACGATCGAACGGTGCGAAAGTATGTATGTACGTATGGGTCGCGCGGCGATCAGACTTCGCTGATTATGTATCTCGGGTCGACATCGACTGCACGTTACGAGAAAAAAAAAATTATACCCATCTGCGCAACGATTAAACAATCATAAATTCACGCTGACATTGGCTCGATTGGGATGACAATAACAGTCGATCGATAACGATTGCCGATTTCTCGTTCAAGGAGCGTGTGCGCGAGGCGGACCAATTTCGTGCTGGATAAATTGAAATTTTATCGTCATTACCGCTGATAAAACGTACGCTTTGGATAATACATCGGCAATTGAGGCTATGGTATCTTCAAAAATTAGCCAGATATCATTGTTATGTAGCGAAGCAGCCGTTAGCAGTACTCGACGGACACTCGAATCGCTATCCGAATAAACTCGCGCAGCAATACGCACCCACACGCAAGCCGATCGATACAAATCGAGGCGCAAATACATTGCCAACGAGCGCACATGTCTCAATATGCTACGGCGCTGGTGGCCTCTCAAGCCCTCCCTCTCTCTTTGTGTGTATATATAGTACATATCGCTTCGTCCAGGTGTGCGCGATGCGGTTGCAACGATAAAACGGACGGTAAAGAACGAAGAGAGAGAGAGAGAGAGAGAGAGAGCTAGCTAGAGCCAGACGGAACGGCGAGACGAATAAAAGTGATCGAAGGGACGCGTCGTCGCGACGACACGGGCGTGCACACATCCTTCCTCCGTACGTCTGTGTTGGCTATGTCAAAATGGCACACGCGAGCGCGTAAACAAAACGGCTGTATATGCCGAAGCCAATACTCCGCACGCAAACGCTTAGTTAACGAAGTGCTTTTCATTTCCTTTATTCTTTTTTCTTTTCTTCTTAAGTGACGGCTTTGCGGAGTTACGATATTTTGGGGCAAATACGGGCGTCCTTGATAAGCGTATTTGTTATGCTACAATGAATGGCCCTTCGAGTGCAAGAGAGACAAACACTCGAGAGCTCGTCCGGTTTCGTTGTTTTCGTTGGATCACGAAATCGGCGGATCACGATTATCGATCATTCGAGTTTGAAAATGTGGGCCCGTTGACAACAAACAGAAATGCAGATCCACGGCGACCTACATGCCAACGAGCGTTAAAAGAACGGCAAACGAGTGGGCATAGACAAGGAGACAGGCGAGCGAAAGCCAAAGCAGCGCCGTGCCCGCAGACTGCATACGACACACGTGTGAGCGCCAGCCGGCTGGCGCCACTACGCCACAGACTTCTCTCTTGTCCACGTGCTAGCGTGCAGCCGGCGCGGAGCGAGCCACAGCCGCTTTCGATGCCTCTCCCCCCACTGCCTATCCGCTCGCGCGGGGACGGCGCTCGGCGCGGCTGCTGTTGCTGCCGCTCTGCTGTTGGCGAGCGCCGCTTCGTTATAGCCATCAGTCGCTTGTGAGCGCTCAGCCGTGCCGCCTTGGTTTCGCTTGCGAGCTTCCGACGAGAGAGCGACAATCGGCGCGAGTGTGCGATATCGGCTGCTCCGATTTTTCCCTCGAGTCAGTGCTTGGCGATCAACGCGAAGAGAGAGAGGGCCAGAGAGACACAATGGTGCCCCGGGAGATAATCGTGCTGGCGACACTGTGCGTTGCGGCGTCTGCTGCGGCTGCCGTCCCGGCGGCGTCGATTGACTTGGCTGCTTCTGGCGGCGACTACGAGCTGCTGCTCGACGAGCGCTACGACGCCGATCCGCATGGTAAAACGCTACGTACATCATCACCTATATTTCTGCGCGCGTCGCTTTGTTCTCTCTCGCCGACGATTGAATCGCGAGTAAAGCAGATGCCCATTTACTCCAATGCTCGCTTAAGATAAAGGCCGGCGATCGGCTTTCGGACGGCCAGTCAAAGTCCATTACGCGCTTCTGTGCTCGCGTGCATCGCTGCGCTTGGTATTCGCGACGGCCAGTTCTCGCGGGTTTCACAATGGCGATGCGACAGCGCCGAGCGGCAATCGGATTCGACCTGCTTCCCGAGGCGGAAACTCTCCTGGCCGACAAACAGTACGAGGCGCCAGCTCTAATTTTTCGCGCGCCGCCGTTTGCAAGGTTAACGCACGGTAAATATAGCCACGAGAGAAAAACGTCAGCCCGAACGTCTAGACGTGTATGGAATCGTGGCGTGATCTCGTTGCCGCGATGCTAAACGTCGAATTGAACCCGAGAGATCGAAGCACTGGTTAACCGCGACGACAAGCCAGGCTAAGGAGAAATCGATTGCCACCGCGATCATTCAAAGATCACATGACGGAGCACATGCCTTGCTGGATCCGGCTGCGATCTCGTTTCGCTACCGTCGATTTATCGTCAACGGTTTAATATATATATTTTTTTAAACGCACATAACGAGGCGTCCATTCGGCGAGAAAGGGATGGGAGGGAGAGACTAAACAAAACTCGTTTCGTGTTTGAGTAGAAGAGTCTCCTCTTCTGCGGTTCAAGGGAAAAAGCGATGGGGAGTATGTAAGAGAAAGAGAGAAAGAGAGAGAGAGCGACGAGGCCGAAACATAAACCTGCTGCCGCTGCGGCGCCGTGTACTCGCAGCTGGAACACATGCCGTACGTGCGCCTTTATGAGTGGCGTGCATCTATTTAAATTCAAGCCGTTCAATTAAGCGTACTTTATTGTCACTCGGTTCCAATATTACACGCGCTTCTTTCCACCGCCTCTCTCGCTCCCGGCAATTAAAATTCGCGCGCGGCCCGCGCGCACTTCCTCCTCGTTATGCGCGCGAGCGTTAATAATAGCGCGGCAAGGCAAGGAGTGTTTGCAACGGCTCGCGCTACGGGCAAGAGAGTTTCAAGTGCGCGCGAGCAGAGAAAAATTGAATTCCGAAATTAGACCTCGCTCGCTCTCTCTCTCTCTCTCACTCTCTCTCTCTCTCTCTCTCTCTCTCTCCGGCCGATGAATGCGAACGACCGCGATTGAGATCGCGCTAATTGTCATCGGAATGCGAAGACGTCGGAGCCGCGCGATCGGCCCCGTGCTGTAGATTATGTAAATGCCACAGAGAGATGTACCCGCGATAAGATAGCGAAGAAGAAGCTGTCGTGCGCAAACGCTCCAAATAATAATAATGCAGGGGATACTGCGAGGTGGCAAATAGCGGTAGCTCGCCGCTATCTCGGCCCAGATAAGCGTACTCGGAGGGGCGAAGAGGCGCACGACTGTCTGCCCCCGCGAGGTCGATCGATTTACGCTCGAATCGCTGCACGGCGGCGTCTGCGTCACCTGGCACTAGGACACTTCCCTTCGCGGCTCCGCGCCAAGACGCGATGGATGTCTTTACGTGATCGACGGCGAGCGTCGAACGGACCACCGCTACGCACCGCCGCGACGACGATTACGATCGTGCGCGGAGCCCCGACATTCGGACCAGGTCCTAAAATTAACGATCATCCCTGGAAAGCTCTCGCGCGCCAGTGTGATTCTTGATAATATCAACGATCGTTCTCCCCCAACCGCTTATTTAAATATTTACGGGAAACGTTGGCGCCGGTGCTATTTTGGAGGAGACGCCTGCCGGCGTCTCCGACTATTTTCGCGTTCTTCATTTCTTCGATACTGCGCGCGTTACGCAACGAGCATATCACAATTGTGTTATTATCTTTTCTCTCTCTCTCTCTCTCTCTCTCTCTCTGGTAAAATAGCAGCGCGCCACGCTTGTAATTGCAGGTTATATAGATGTATTAAAGGCGCAAGGCGCCGGATGGTCGAATTACATACGTGTCTGCAGGCTACTTGCTCGTTACGACTGCAATAAGTGTCTGCGCGTCGTGTTTTCAAGTTCCGCGGCGGCGAAAATATACTGCGAGGAAGTATGTCTGTGCTCTCCGCTGCGGCGTCGCGCGCTTCAGGCTTAATTAATGAGTGCCAGTCGAGATGTGCATGTGGCTATTTATTTTTGCGTTTGCCTTGCGGCCTGATGTTGGGCGCGCGTCTACATGGTTAGCGCCGTTGCGCCGATTTGCGTCCCGTTATGCCTAGCTTCTGATCACTCGTTGAAGGAGGAAATTTATTTGTAAGACTGTCGAGAGGCAGCTCGCCGACCGATGACAGCGATAGAAGAGGCGAGGAAAGCTGTCCGCGCCAGCCTCGGCCTCAAAGAGCTGAATGACGATCGTCCGTCGCTCGACGCTGAAAATGAGCTCGTTTTACGGCAACCGCCTCACTTAATGCCGACCAATGAACGTGGTTCAGCCATCGCCTCGAATTGTCTGTCTGACCTGTTTCGCGCGTAAAACGAATCAATTTTTTGCGTCGCTCCAACTGTAAGTTCGATAAGGCACGAGCGAGCCATGAGTTGTTGTTCGCCATCGTTATCGCGCTCTTGAAAATTGAAGCAGGGAGAGAGGGCCGCGACTTTGTTTGATAAGAAAGCCACTTTTGCTAGGATATATCGGCTCGCGCTATCGCGTTATAAACAACGAAAGAGCGAGAGAGAGAGAGAGAGAGAGAGAGAGAGAGAGAGAGAGAGACAATGACAGTGAAAGATTTTCCCTCTGGCGTAATTGCTCAATTTCTAAACTTTCTTGTTCGCCAACATATACAAGACAGATATGCCAGCACATGTACGCGTCCCTGCCTATTTTCTTCTCGCGCGCCGGTCGTTAAGTATTGGCTTCGGCTGATTGCTCTTCTCTCGCTCTCTCTCCCTCTCTCTTGTATTTATTGGTTTTGCTTGACGCCTACTATTACCGCTTTGCTCGTACTACTCGCGCAAGTAAAGCAATCGAATGTTCGAAAGCGCTTACAGGCACAGGAAAAGTCTGTGTACAAGGTTTCCCGCAACGTTAGCCGTCAAACGTTGTCTTTTATGTTTAACATCTTCGAATATACCATTTAGTAAGCGCAGACATATCGAAATTTCATAAGAATCGAAACTGCAACGGCGCGCGAGAGAAATTTTACAATGGAAAAACGAAAGAAAAAAAAATATTGAAATTCCAGTATGGTACGGCGGTGTCGGTGCGCGTATAAAAGTCCCCGCATCGGAAGTCGGGGATTTCACTAAGTGAGCACACGACTACCTGGCAGGTCTGGAAGAGCGGAAACCGCCCTTTTTCCCATGTGTAATTTGGCAGAGCCGCGTATAGCAACAGATGTTTTGCCGCTGCCGCATGAAAAGTGAGTCACGAGAGTGAATCACGAATTATTATCAATCGATCGCCGCCACCGACGAACGAAAAAAAAAACAAACGACTGCGGACAAAAGAACCGGCGCCGTTGTACATGTATACGTACGTATATATATAGATAACGATATACCCGGTATAAAGTTGAAGGTCTCATTGGCGCCGGCGATTGCACCTCGTTCTCGACAAAAAAAAATAGCCGTCGTTATAGTCTGGCGAGCACGCGTGCGTGACGACTACAACGACGACGTAACGCATTACCGACAGATTCTTATATTTTTATTTATTTATTTTTTTGTATTTTGACTCGTGTTCTCGGTCCGTTGCATTTAGGGAAAGTGAAAAACTTGGCGAGATCGTGGCTTCGACGGGCAACCTTTTAAAAACCGACCGAGCTTAATTAGGTCCGTCGAGGTCTGTGCTAATAATTTAATTCAACATGAAAGTAGCCGTAAGTAACACGATTGCAAACCGTCACAGCAGCCACTCCCCGTATCAAAACGAAAATCTCGCAAAAGTCGCGCACACACGCGCGCGCGGAAGCAGCGTATCCGTTCGTTCAATTCTCCGTCTCTCTTTTTGTTGTTATTTTCGTGTGCGAGCGCACGCGTTTTGTCTTACGTATTATACAAGGGAGCCTCTCGTTGAGTCTGGCTGCGGGCGCCTCTGGTCTTCCTGTTTATTCTTGCTCTGCGGGGCGGGCAAGCGATATTTTCGTCTACGAATAAAGAACAAGACGAAGAACAAATAATTATCTGTCGAACAGAAAAATCCCCCCCCCCCGACACTCGAGCCATCGGAATCAAACGAGAGCGAGCGCTCTCGATTATATGCTAATTTTCGTGAGTTGCGAAACGACTATCGTTGGCGCTTTCAATTATGAACACCGACAGCCACTGCGCGAGATTGTGTGCACTTCCTGGCTCTCTCGCCATCGGACACCGTTATTTTTTTGTGCATTACCTTGCGAAATAGGTGCATAAGCAACGTTTGAACTTTGATTGATAACTTTCATTTTCACAATAGCGATTTTCAGCAAACAATGTCCCAAACCGCATTCCCTACTTGCACAACCGTTAAAAAAGCTTATTAATAAGTCTCTCGCGCAAAATTTATACTTCGCGGTAAGTATGTGGTGCATTATCATAGACAGTTAATTGACCAAGTTGATAACGATCTTTACATATGCCTCGGCGGAAACGTAAACTCCAATAGTGCTTGACCATTATATACGAGTTTTGCTGGTATGGTACAGACCTTTTTTTTCAAGCTGCAATTGTGATCGCAAAGTCGGTTAATTGCAACGACGATTGAGCAACTGTATACGGTGGATTTGAATGACGTGCGCGTGGTAAACGCAATGCAGTTATAACCTTCGCCGCTGCGTTCACAAGACGAGTAATTAAATTAATTATTTCACATCGACAATCGTCGTAAAAAATCTATCTAAGCCAAGAGCGCAAAGCAATCTTCGAAATGTTCGCGCGCTCTTTGTTTTGCCCAGCGTATTGCGTGCGCTCGTAAAACGCGTACGATTTGCATATATGCGCCGCAGCTTCGTTT